TTGTCTGAAATGGTATAAGGTTTCCTGCCTAGGCAGGGGGTTGGATTAGAAGACCTCCAAGGTCCCTTCCAACTCTGCTATTGTATTGTATTGTACTGCAAGACAAGGCCAAAGTAGAGAAGATTCGGGGGAAGGGAGAGATATGGTAACAATTTTCAAATAGCTATCAAGCAGAACTCCTGACACAGAACTAGAATCAGTTGGTATAAGAAATGGCAGAGAAGTTTAGGAGAAAATTACTAAAAAAGAAGAGGTGGTGAAGAAAAAAAGAGGGTGCCCTTGAAATGGAGGCTTCTCCCTTGTTGGAAGTATTTAAGCAGTGACTTTGTCAAAGATACTATACAGGTGGTCCTTGACTTACAACAGTTCATTTAATGAACATTCAACGTTACAACATCATTGAAAAAAGTGACTTATGACCCTTATTTCACTTACAACAGTTACAGTGTCTCCATGGTCATGTGATCAAAATTCAGATGCTTGGCAATTAACTTATATTTATTTACAGTGTTTACAGTGTTCTGGGGGTCATGAGATCACCTTTTGCAATCTTCTAACAAGCAAAGTCAATAGGGAAGCCAGTTTCACATAACAACCATGTTATTAATTTATCAATTGCAGTGCAGTGATTCACTTAATAGCTGCGACAAGAAAGGTTATAAAATGGGGCAAAACTCACTTAATAAATGTCTCACTTAGGAACAGAAATTTTGGGCTCAATATTGGTCATAAGTCGAGGACTACCTGAGCTCACATTCTATATATAGATTATACATTAAGCATGGGGTTAGACCAGATGAAGTCCAAAATTCCTATGATTCTAAACTAGGTAAAAACACAAAAGTTGGAGTTTAACTTTTAATGTGAGCAATGGAGAACTCTGAAGAGGGCTACAATTTCATACAAAACACTGCAATATTACACAACTGAATAAATGGAACATAGAAGACCAACTAAGTAATCTTCTGTACGCTGTGTCCAAATAAGATCATCATAAATGAAAGTTAAAATCTGACAAAAGGTTGGAAGAATCAGGAAAAGCTGATTTCCTCTGAGAGAGAGAAAAAAAAACTAAGGAAAAGATCATATAAGAACACTATTCAAGTAGCTAATATTAACATACAATGTCTTATAAACTTCTTTAATAAGAAGTATGATTTGCGTGAGCTGCAACTTGAACTACTATGGGAATTTTTCATTTTTAAAGTCAGAAAGAATACAACCCTGCTCCCTTATGAAATATCTTGGTCTGGCAAGGAAAAGGAAGAAGGGCAGGTGGCACATGGATACTAACTCTGCCAACCTGGATTTCAGTATCAAGAAGACAGATGGTAGACCGAAGTTCTTCACAAGATCAAAACCTTTCACAAAAATGGTGAAGGCAGTCTCATGCCATTACATTGCAAACTCTACTGTTTTAGCACATGTATGTAACATTGCAATGCAATTCCAACATTTGCCACCACACCACTATCTCCTGAGCTGAATAGGACAAAATTTGACAAAAGCCTCAAAATTGTTTAAAATTTACTTTACATAATTTAATTATTTCAAGAGACTTTATAAAACTCTGCTTTTCAGTTGGTGGGTTACAAGCAATGTTCCCTCTAAGCTGCGCGGGTGGGCGGCCGCACACGTGGCAACAAAACACCGCGCAGCAGTTTCCAACTGCCGCGCAGTGGTTTTTGTGAGACGCCTTCCACGATAACAGGAGAGGAGAGCTACCCTGGAGACAGCAACCACAAGGCAGAAAGTAGCTGAGAGAAGGGGTGTGGGGGTTGGGAGAAGGCATGGGATGGAGAGGGGAGGAGGGAGAGAGGGGGGAGGGAGGGAGA